ATTAAGAAAATGTTCTGCATCCCACTTTGGTGAGTGGTGTCTGGGGTCTTAAAAGCTAGCGAGCGGCCATCTAAGATGCATCAGTTGGTCCCAACCTGTCTGGAACAGAGGAGAATGAAACCAAAGTTACCCCAAGAGACGTAAAGGGCCACATAAACCAGAGACTGAAACAGCCTGACACCAGAAGAACTGGATGGTTCCTGGCTACTACCAATGTCTGCTCTGATAGAGAACATAACAGACAGTCCCTGATGGAGTGGCAGAAAAATGTGGTGCAGATCTCAAATTCACGTAAAAAGACCAGACTTACTGGTCTCATTGAGACTGGAGGAACCCCCGAAGACGTGGCCCCCGGACTTTATTAACCCAGAGCTGAGACCATTCCCGAAGCCAACTCTTTTGACAAAGATTGGACTGGACTATAAAACAAAAAATAATTCTCATGAGGGGTGTGCTTCTTAGTGCAACTAGATACACGAGACTAAATGGGGAGTTCCTGTCCAAGGTGGGATGGGAGGGAAGAAAGGGATAGCAGCTGGTTGAATGGACATGGAAAACCCAGGGTGGGAAGGGACAGTGTGTTGTCACATTATAGGGACTGCAACTAGGGTCACATAAGGGTATGTGTATAAATCTTTGTATGAGAGATTGACTTTGTCTATCAACTTTCACCTAAAGCACAATAAACAATAAAACAAAAACAAAAAGACTGTGTTAGACATTGGAGATAACATTAAAGGTAGTCCCTGCTCTTGAGGGGATGTAATCCTGTAAGGCATATACTTAAATATTATCTCATGAGAATGGGGTCATATTTCAAAAACATCAACAACTCTATTTCATAAGCTTGTGAATGAAAAGATTATTGGAAACAAGCCATTAATCTCCAAACTAATAAGAACACTAGCAAGCTTTACTTTGGAAAAATAAATGACCAGACTTTCTAGGCATAGATTATACACTGATGAAGGCCATATGTAAAATATTCAGTGAGAATTCACATGTTCACCTTCTCTGATGTTATACACCATAGCACTGTGGTGTGAGAAAAAGATCTCTGGACAAGAATTAGATGATCTGTGATAAAGCTCTGGATCTGCCCATGTAATAGTTTTGGAAGGTTAAGGTATTTAACCTATTGGAGGAAGTTTGCTCATTATTAAAATGAAGAGATCAGAGAAGATGATTTTTCTAACATCCCTTGCAGCTCTAACGTCCCAAATTATGCTATTCCATATCTGAGGATGGGTATATACAAATAGAATCTTTAAAATATTAAGTTAAATTCTCCATATTTTGATAATGAAAAAGATGAAAGAAAATATTAAAACAGGGAAAATAGATGATTGAAATGTAAATTTTGTAAATTTTCTAATTAAATACTTCCCTGGTGATCACAGATCATAGTCACTTCTGTTTTAATTAAGGGAGGCTCTGGTGCTGGGTAATCTATCATATGATCAGATTATGTATGATATAATAATCTATCAAACCGTGGGTAAATATTAAACACTTATGTAAGATGCTGAGCTGCAGAGGTATGAAACACAGAATGTTGATTCAGTCACAGGATGAAGCATTATGACATAAGAGAGCTTGCATACCTTAGTCTAGATGGTACATCCACACTTCACCCCTGCAGAGCATGAGGGTGAAAGCGGGCTCTGCAGAAAGTACATCAGATGCCAGACTTTGAGAAGTCATCTACTGCCTCTGATCCCTCTCCTCTGACCCTTTCACATCATGGTCAGGCTGAACCAGACAGAACATACAGGTATTGAAGGTGCTTTCAAATGTCACATCAATAAATACCTGGCTAAAACATGACACGTAAACTGACCACCCACCCCACTAAAGAAAAAAGAAATACAAGGCCCATTGACCTTTTCAGTTTTCTAGGGGAAAGAGGGGAACTCACTCTGTGATTATTCTTTTCTGTTTATCCTGAAGTGTTTTAGCACTACAAGTAAACAAATGTTCGCTGAAAATAAGAACTTCATTTACAAGTTTTTTAAAAAGCTAAACCTTCTCCATTTCTCTCTAGAAAACTTTTCTGAATCTAAATGCTCAAGAAGCATAAAATTGGATAAGAAATGTTCATTGCTCTTAATACCTCACCCTCAAATTGTTTTAGTTAATGTTCTTTCAATTTTCCCCCCAATGATCATTTTAAATAATATTTTTTAAATAATATTTTTTAAAAACGTCAAGTGCTTTGCCCCGTTTTTTAGTATCAAAAGAAAATGTATTTGAAATGATGCGTTAGCCTAAGGTAACTTACCTCCACCTTGGCACCACAGCAATTTGGATTTCTGATTCTTTGAGCAGGTCAGTGACTTGGGGAACCAGTAAAAGAGCCGGGCTAGTCTCCTGAAGGTCTTGCTAAAGTCACTTCTTACCGCCATCGCTAGAACTAACAGTGCTACAGACAGCATGGAAGATGAAAACACAGCAACACCCACATGTGACACTTTAGCTGTGAACTCTTTCAGCCAATATGTCTGGGGGCCACCTGTTAGCCCTAAATCCCCTTCCTCTGTCATTCCTTTGGTTTGTCCTTTAGACCTTAGCCCTCATAACTAGAAACTGTATTAATAGATGTTCTTTCTAAAGAAAGAGCTTTAAGCTTCAGAAACTCTAACCTAATACAACACTTGATAATTTTTAAGCAGACTCTCCCACTATCCTCATACAAACACAATAATTTTCAGAGTGAAGAAACTGGTATCTGCCAACCCAGCACCCGTCAATGACAATTCTTAGGACACAGTGGTGAACGAGTTATCTCCCAAAGCTGTAACCTTGATCTCATTTGTTTTCTGTATTTTTTTTTTTCACTAAAAAAAATGATGCCTATTTTAAACCTCGGCAGGAATTTATCCCAGAAATAAAAGAATTCGACTGATTCTTACGTGTCAAGAAATGTGTAAAACAGCAAGATTTTTCCAGGGTCCTGCTTTAGATTTTAGTCTGCTATTCAGCATTTCACTAATGGGCTAAAAAAATGTTCTGAGAAGATCTTGTATATCTAAGCGGAAGTAATCAGCTTGAGACAGTGTAATGATGTCTATAAGGCACTGATGCAGCATTTGGTAATTTCAGAAATAGATGAAGTGGAATTATAATTTTAGAAGATGTTATGGGATTATTTTTCACATTTTTTTCCTAACCTCTAATTCTTCTTGTTTATTCTCTTTCACATACTTCAAAATCATTTCATATTTGATTATTTCTTCTGCTGTTCAAACTATAATCTCTCTTTTATGTTGAGTTAAATCCACTACCTCCTCTACTTGTTATATACACTACTTTTTATATCATTAATCCCTATCTTTTGGAAGCATATTCTAATGTTGAAAAAAAGCACTACTAAAGATACAACTTATTTTAAAGCTAATTTCACTAGTCACTCTGAAAATTAGATTAACAGGCTGGTATCACCTTATATTTATTGACTTAAAAATGTTTTCAATGAGGATGTTATTTTTTTTTTAATTGTACTTCAGGTGAAGGCTTACGGAACAAATAGTTCCTCATGAAACAGTAGTACACATATTGTTTTATGACATTGGTTAACAACCCCACAACATGTCAACCCTCTCCCTTCTCAACCCTTTTTGGTTGGGTGAAAATATACATAGCCGAAGATACACCATTTCAAAAATTTCTACATGCACAGCTCAGTGACATCGACTACGCTCTTCCAATTGTGCTGCTATTCTCACTTTAGATGAAGGCTTACAGAACAAAACAGTTTCTCATTTAACAGTACACGTTGCCCTATGACAATGGTTAACAACCTCACAACCCATCAACACTATCCTTACTCAACCTTGGGTTCCCTATCACCAGCTTTCCTGTCTTCTCCCTTCTGGCCCTTGTCCCTGGACTGCTGTGCCTCATTAGTCCCATTTGGTTTTATGGGGCTGTCCACTCCCAGGCTGAACGGTGAACCTCGGAAATGACTTCACCACCGAGCTAAACGGGTGTCTGGGAGCCATACTCTCGGGGTTTCTCCAGTCTCCTTTAGACCAGTAAATCTGGTCTTTTTTTTTGTGAGTTAGAATTTTGTTCTACATCCTTCTCCAGCTCTGTCCAGAACCCTCTGTTGTGATCCTGGTCAGAGCAGTCAGTGGTGGTAGCCGGGCACCATCTAGCTGTACTGGACTCAGTCTGGTGGAGGCCTTGGTAGCTGTGGACAATTAGTCCTTCGGACTGATCTTTTCCTCGTATCCTGTTCTCTTCATTCTCCATTGCTCCCGAAGGGATGAGACCAGTGGAGTATCTTAGATGGCTGCTCACAGGCTTTTTTAAGACCCCAGATGCTACTCACCAAGGTAGAATGGAGAATATTGTCTTTATAAACTGTGTTATGCCAGTTGAGCTAGATGTTCCCCGAGACCATGGTCCCCACAGCCCTCCATCCAGCAATTCAGCCCCTCAGGGAGTTTGGATGTGTCTATGGAGCTCCCATGACGTTTTCTTGTACAAGTTGTGCTGGTTTCCCCTGTATTGTATACTGTCTCACCCTTCACCCAAGATACCACTTATCTATTGCCTATTTAGTATTTCCCCCACCCCTCCCATCCCTGGTAACCAACAAAGATTGTTACATTTTGTGTGTGAACTTTTTCATGGGTTTTTACAATAGAGGTCTCATACAATATTTGTCCTTTGTGATTATTTCACTCAGCATAATGTCCTCCAGTTTCATTCATGTTAGGAGATGCTTCACAGATTCATCATTGATCTTTCTCATTGCGTAGTACTCCATTGTGTGTACGTACTGTAGTTTGTTTATCCACTCATCTGTTGATGGGCATCTAGGAGGATGTATTTTTTAATGTAAAACAGTGAAAGCAAGAATGCTTGGTTTCCATGTCATTGTCATGAGGAGTAAAACAGTCAGTCTTTTAAAAAAATACTAATGTGGAACAGATTTGTTTTTATCAATTCAACTAATAAAAAACACAATCCTCTCAGTGAGAGTTTGTTTACTGGTATTCTTTTCTCGAGGTTCTAAAATAAACACTTACTCTACAAAAATACTGATTACATAATTTTAATAAAACTTTATCTAATGCTCAGTGATGTAAACATTTAAAGTATACAGTTAAAGATATACATGTTAAATGGTCAAATGAAAATTAAAATCAAGAGGGATTAAACATCCCCTCACTGCACACTCTCTCATGATAGGGGATAACAGTATTTATATACAGAACTCACCCAGGCATTTATTTCTATAATGTGTACATGTGACTCTCAAAATTCCCTACTACAATAATGCACCAACTATCTCAAATAAAACCTTAATTCATTTTCAGTTTTTAAAGCAATTTATTTTCTGATGTCCATGGTAGTCAAATGTACTTACTCTCTAGGACATGGTAGTTTATGACACACGCATTGTACATAATCACACTTCAATAGTCTGATAAACCAGAAACCAAAACAAAAACAAATGAAAACCCTAGGTAGATGAAATAATTTTTTGCTGAGCACAATCCTTTAGTCTGAACTCTGGGTAGGTTTTTTAAACAGAATGTACCCTTTGAATCTGTATCGCATAAACTTACAAAAGAACTTTTACTAAACTTGTAATCATTGGGTTTATAAAAGACATAAAATTGCCCCTAGAGCCAATATCTGAGAATAATTTACCATCATCACCCATACTATTTATTTCAAAAGATAACTTCTGTTTCTTAAACTGTGTACAGATACACACAAACTCTTTACATTAAAATCAAGAAATTTATTGATATTTTTTCATGAAGTAGTAAGCAGAATTAAAATAAAGAAAAAATATACAGCTTAAAACAGGTGAAATGACCCTAAAATTTTTATGACAATTATACGTTTAAGGCCAAAAGAAAAAATGGTTTTTAGTAATTAAATCACATTAAAAATTTTGCTCAATAATTCATCACCTGAAATTAAACAGATACAAGGATACCTGGGGGTCTGGGCACCTTGTAAAATGAAGTAATGCCGTTTTATTCTTCTCAAAAAAACTGTGATCCTAGTAAAACAGTGGTTTGGTTCTGTTCCTCATTCACAAAAGCCACTTCTCCATTCTACCATTTACAAACAATATCAATTTGTCAGTCTTCTCTGATTTGTAAAGATGCCAATTTTGGCTCCACTTAAAAATGTTCTCCATAGGCAGTCAGAAATCAGTATCTCAATATATTGGTCATGGCTTTCTTCTACTGCTCACTGAGGTCAAATTTTCTCATATAATTATAAATGTTAAAAGGTAAAATTACATTTTAACAGCAGCCAAAAATCAATATATTTTTTATGTATTTACAATATAGTACATATTTACATTCCCACATCAAGTATTGAATTGTAGAAACCAGAGACCACTGACAGAGGCATTCATTTAATGCCCTAGCATTATTTTCTTGTGCAAATGGAAACTTTTCTCAAACTTCTTAGAAAACTAAATACAGTCAACATTGCGAAGGCCACCATCCATGGTCAAAGAGCCAAACCTAAAACACAAAACAAGCAATTTCAAAAGATTAATTTATTTGGCCCCCAACATCTTAAAGAATAATACAGAATATTTTTCAAAGGAATAGTTATTTTTAAAGAGTTTAAGCACCTGTGATTTGCTCTATTTCTTACTCTGAAACATAGTAGTGTTAATAAAAATATATGGAAAAAATACAAGGTAATGACTAGGGAAGACTTCTTAAGAGAAAATGGGGAGTGATGTAATCTAGAAAGTTAGTAAGAACTTCATACTTTCTTTTTGGTGGAGTGGGATGGGAATTATAGGCAATGATGATGTAGAGTAAGTCTACATCAATGATAGAAGTAAGTCTGACATACTCAAGGGATAATGAGAAATGGAAACTTGCTAGAAAACAGAATGTTATTTTGGGGAGTAGTGGGCAATAAAGTTGGGCGAATAGGCTGGGGCCAGGCTGTTATATTCTTTGAATGGAAGTGTGAATTTAGAATTGACCTTTTAGGTAACAGGAGCTTAGGGGTTTTTAAGCCAAGAGAGCAGCATGACTAGATCAGTATTTGGGAGGTTACTTTGGCTGTAATATCCATTACAGATGGGAAGAGCCTGGGATTAGGGAAATAGGTTAACAGGCTATTACCATAGCTCATATGTGAGAGGGAAACCAAACCTGTTGCCTCGAGTCAATTATGACTCATAGCGACTCTACAGGACAGAGTAGAACTGCCCCATAGGGTTTCTATGAGTTGGAATCGATTCGATAGCAACCGGTTTTTTTTATAGGGCTTCCAAGGAGCGGCTGGTGGACTCAAACTGCTGTCCTTCTGGTTAGTAGCTGAGTTCTTAACCATCATGCCACCAGGGCTCCATGAGAGGGAAAGCGATCTGAATTATGGTGATGAGAGGGAAGGAAGATTTTGAAAGACTACCCAACTTGATGAGAAGGAGTAAAGAAGAGTAAGTGTCTAAAATGTTTTATGTTTAACAGAGTAGGAGAAAGATGGTCCCATCGAAGAGGATAAGGAAATTAGAGGGGAAACTGATTTGGGAAGGGTGATAATAAATGAAGTGATATAGTATATTCATGTGGAGACAGAGTGGTACAACATTCTACATGAGACCTGGCTTCTATCACTAATTCTGTCACTTGAATTGTCACTTAAGTTAAAATTATGCCACACTATCACCCATATACTGTCAAATGAACCTGAAAATAAATCACATGGGAACTGATTTATTGGACATGCTTTGGGAATTGGGGATTTTAATCCGCAAGGCATAAGTTACTCAATATAAAAGTTTGCTGAAGCATATTTTAACAGTTGCTTCTACTTGCTGATCTTCAGCTCTATAGGATAAATTTAGGATTTAGCTGAAGTTGTGAAGAAATTATAAACTGGATACTATAATAAGTTAGTTACTACATAGTTCCTACAAACCAATAGAAAAAGATAAAACAAAACAAAAACCTAACAGGCAATTAATAGCGAAAATAAAAATATAAAAAGATGCTTGACATCACTATTAGCCAGAGAAATGCAAATTAAAACATTAAGATATCAGTTTTTACGAAACAAACTGGCAAGCACTTAAAAAGCTGATTCAGTGTTGACAAAGGCATAGTTTTTGTCCTGTATGGAACCATAACACACAACCCTTTTAAAGAACAAATTAACAATACAATCAAAATTTAAATGTCCATACCCTCTGACCCAACAATTTCACATAAACTGATCCCACAAAAATTCTGCCACAAGTTTATGAAGATATATATATACACACACACAAGGACGTTCACCAATGTGGGTGTTTTTAATTGTGAAGTATTAGAAACAAATTAAATGCCCAATAAATAGGGATGGGTAAAACAGATTACGGTAGATCCATACATTGGAATATCAGGCAGCTGTTGAAAATGAAAGAGATAGAGATGTGTATATGGACATGAAAAAAATACTCTTGATACATTTAGTGAAAAAAAAAAAGATTAAACCACTATGAACAGAATGATTCTATTCTTATAAAACAAACACATGCACACCAAACTATTAATAGTGATTACCTTTGAGAATGGGGGTGTCATGAGAAAAGTTGTTCATTTTCAAGTTTTTAGAATTATATATTGTTTGAAATTATGACAGCAGAATGTATGCTAAAAATCAACTCATATTGAAAAAAATCAGATAATACCATAGATCTGTCTGATAACTTTCTGTATTTCGCTCAAAAACCATATTACTTCCTGGTAATTAACCTTTCCAAGCCTTGTTCTCGATGTTGTTAGTTGCCGTAGAGTCAATTCTGACTCCTTTATTTGGCCTTTATAAATGTGAAATATATTTATTAGAGTTTTAAAGGTTAGAGAACCTGTAGAGGAGTACCTAAGGGCTGAAAGAGAAGGCACTGTCACAGAGCCAAATATGAGGGACCAGTCACCCAAAAATGGCCTGATTAGCTCTGTCCCTTTCAGATTCTTTCTCCCTGCCTTACTAGGACTTTGTAGACAGTAAACAGACACCAGCTCCTTACACAGGGCACTCGCTCTGCAAGGAGTTTTGCAGAGGGCTCTGCAAGGAGTTTTGCAGAGGGCTCTGCAAGTTACAGAGTACCAATCAGAGGACTGCTATCTTACAAGCAACTCAAGTTCCCAAAATTGAAAATTATGATTTTAATGAGCAATTACAGAAAACTACGTGCAAAGGATTTTGGTTTTCAAAAATTGATTCAAATAAGCAAGTTATTGTACTAATTTCCCCAGATACTCCTATAAAATGGAATCAATCATAGTTGAATTGTCTTTATGAAAATGACCCCAAACACATAAAAAGGCATCAGTGATTTTACGACCCCACTGAAAAACATAACGGATCTGACTTTACATCCCCTTTCCTCTGCTTAGCTTACTGATACAAGAAGCAGACACAAGTATAGACAAACATGTACTCAACTGCATATAAAATTACAGTGTAGTATGACTTTTGCATTACTCACCTTTCTAAAATATGATTATTTTCAGCAAGTTCTTTAACCACACCTTCCATCTCTTCCTTTAATTTCTTCATACTATACATATAAAAAAAACAAATAAGCACATCTGCTCAAAACAAGTATACAAATGTTTTAGAATTATATATATTTGACTTTAATACGCTTTTGTTTTAGAGCAATTTTATGTTTACAGAAAAATTTCACAGAGAACAGTTTCCATACCTCTCTTGCCTCCCCTGCACACTTTTATAATTACCGTATTTTTATGCAACTAACACATGCCTTCTGCATTTGTTTGCCAGCCACGCCCTCCCCATGAGGCACCCTCACAAACGCTGCCATGCCAATCCTCTTCCACATGTTGTTGTAAAAAAATTAGCATAGCACACTTATGAAAATACCTAAGTGGGGGGCACAGCCAGCAAACAAATGCAGAAAGCATGTGTTATTGGTGACAAAACACAGTATATTTATATTATGTTTTAGTTCTCTAGATTTAACTAACTCATTTAATAACATTGTCAAACACTGTACTCAAAGGAAACATAAAAGATTTCAAAATATAAGCACAAGATCACAAACCAAAATAAAAGCAAATGAAAACACTGTAGTTACCGATTATAAGTGTCTTACCCAAGAGTCATTTCCACTAATGTGTTAGAACTTGGATAGACTGGGGTCATGGTATGTTTGATTCCACTGGAGGCTGCAAACATTTTCTGAGGCAAAGTTTCTTGTAACTGAAATATTAAAAACCTACATCAATCATACAACAGAATACTTACTACAGATCTTAGAACTGAATATTATAGATTTTAATAAGCCCTTTATAGCTTTAAATTTTTACTTCAAAATCATTAATGATACAATACTTAACACTTAAAAAAATTTCTTTTTTTATACACGATAAAAGAATGGTCTATCAGATGTTTTTGAGTTGTAAAATATCTACATTTTTAAAATTTGGCTCAGGATACATATCAAAAATGAGTGAGAAAACAGAACACCGTCTTTTTCTGCAAATAGCGCATGCCTTCTATGTGTGTTTGCCAACCACACCCTCTCTCCCCATGAGGTATGTTTGAAATCTTGCTATGCTAACTTTTTTGCTGTAAAAATACGGTATAGGCACATTATATCCTATTTATCCCTTCTCAATTACTATCAGGTCTAAATTGAGGAGAATTCTATTTTATTTTGGCTAAGGGAGAAAAAGGCTCTTTTTCTAGATATAAAGATTTTTGATAGCTGTACCTCATTAGTGTAGTCTTGATACTTTGATACTTCTTCTTCAATATCAAAACACTGATTAGTTAGAGATAACAACTGTTTCCTTAGATGAAGCATCTTTCTGAAAATCAAAAATAATTGATTAATAGGTAGTCTAGTGAAACATTAATTCTTTTAAAATAGCATGAACATTAAATTGTATATTGCAGTCAACCACCCTCACCCCAAAACACACTTACTTACCTCATCCATTCTTCTGACTTATTCAAAAATGCATCATACTTTTTAACACACTCATCTGCAAAGTGGGTCATAGCTTTTGTTGCATGGTAATACAGTTTTTGCCTGGAATTAAGAAATAATCAAAGAGGCTTAAACAAATTTCACTGTCTCCAATATTAAAAAATTTTGAAACATTTGAAATTAATCCATTTTTATGACTGTTGTAACTTTTAAGTATTTACAGTAGACAGAAAAGGTTTCTAAGATAGACATTACAGCAGCAAGAGGAAAAAGGTTCAAAGTGAAAGTGTTAAAAAAATATTTACTGAATGAAGATTAAGGTTAAGTAGGTGGTTAAGTCTGTGTCCTCCCCTGTCCTCGCTATATATCTGTTCTCTGTAAACAGCGCATGTGTAGCAGAAGACTAAGTGGAATGGTGATCCCCCCTACCCCCTGCCTTTTCCTGTCTAGGTAGCCTCCCAACCAGGGATCAGATAAGTGCAATTTGATGAGGAATTTGAAAATGTGCGCACATGGTAACAATCCTGTAACGTCAAGATTTAAAAAAGTACTCTTTATTGCAATTAATTTCAACTTTGAGAAGAATCATATTAGTAAGATAACAAAAAGAGCACTGAAAATTATATTAAACATAACCTGAATACTTACTTATCAAATTTGTGAATTTGTTCTTCATTATAAGCTAGCCCTAGAAATAAGAAAAAAAAATTAACTTTTAAAATGTAGAATCATAAAATTATTATACAAATTTCTAAATTTTTAATTTTTTACAATTTATATGTATATTTCGATTATTGCTTCAAAAGACCTAAGAGTTTAAAGCAGATATCACAAACTGGTGGTCCATGGGATAACACGGCCCACAAATGTTTTTATTTGGTCTGTAGAGTGATAACATAAAAAAAAAAAATTGACTGCCAACATTTAAAAATGAGGATTATTTCTATGAGACCACCACTACAAAAACCCATGAAAAGGTTTACACACAAAAAGAAACACTCTTTGATGGTTATGAGGGAGGGGAGTGTTGAGAGGGAAAAACACTAAACAGACAATAGATAAGTGGTAACTTTGGTGAAGGGTAAGACAGACACAAAACTGGGGAAGCCAGCCCAACTTGTCCAAGGCAAGGTCATGGAAGCTCCACAGACACATCCAAACGCCCTGAGGGACCAGATTACTGGGCTGAGGGCTGTGGGGACCATGGTCTCAGGAAACATCTAGCTTAATTGCCATGATACAGTTTATAAAGAAAATGCTCTACATATTACTTTGGTGAGTAGCATCTGGGGTCTTAAAAGCTTGCGAGTGGCCATCTAAGATACTCCATTGATCTCACCCCATCTGGAGCAAGAGAGAATGAAGAAAACCAAAGACATAAGGGAAAGATTAGGGCAAAGGACTAATGGACCGCAAGTACTACAGTCTCCACCAGACTGAGTCCAGAACAACTGGATGGTGCCTGGCTACCACCACCGACTGCTCTGACGGGGATCAAAATAGAGGGTCTGGAACAGAGCTGGAGAAAAATGTAGAACAAAATTCTAACTCACAAAAAAAAAAAAAAAAAAAAAAAAAAAGACCAGACTTCTTGATCTGACAGAGACTGGAGAAACCCTGAGAGTATGACCCCCAGAGACTCAGTAATGAAGTCACTCCTGAGGTTCACCCTTCAGCCAAAGATTAGACAGGCCCATAAAACAAAACAGGACTAAATGGGCACACCAGTCCAGGGGCAAGGATGAGAAGGCAGGAGGGGACAGGAAAGCTGGTAATGGGGAACCCAAGGTCAATAAAGGGAAGAATGTTGACATCTTGGGGGGTTGGCAAACAATGTCACACAACAATGTGTGTATTAACTATTTAAAGAAAAGCTAGTTTGTTCTGTAAACCTTCATCTAAAGTACAATAAATAAATACACTTTAAAAGATGCCCATGAAAAAAATTAATAAAAATCAGGATATTTCTAACAAACTATATTCTTGCTTCTCTTAAGAAAGATAGGGCCATAAGTCAAGTGACCTTGAGAATGGCTGTCCTCTTTAGATGGGGTACCTCCTCTCTAGTTCTCCTCAGCCCACTGGCCAATCTCACTCATTTCTGTTAAGCTGCCTGGTCTCTAGAGGTTTTAGAGTTCAAGACCCCTGATTTAAAATAATTAAAAATATTCAAAATGTCTGTTTTAAGAATAATTTTTAGTAAACCCAACTTCTTTCCTGAAGGAATCACATATCTGAAATAAATAAAGTAGCCACCTTACGTACTAAGTTCAACTGAATTAATTCAATTGAATTAGAACTACTAAGACTGATTCATCAGATTAACAAATGGCAAATTTTACTTACTACGTTCTGCTTTGTCTTTTTTGAACTGATAGTAAATCTCTGTGATGCAATTTAACAGGACTTGTAGCCTTTCTACACTATTTAAGGAAGAAAAATCCAAATAAATTAACTGAATCAATGTGAAAAAGAACATTTAAAAATTAAGAGCAGAAATTACCAATAAAGTTATAACCTACTTTCTATCTCTGGGATGAGTGCCCTCTTGATGTGCCCATGTATCTGCCAGCAATCCACCTGGAGACAATTTGCTTCCGATATCCTGAAGATTGGTTTCTATTGTTCCCTGAGAACTGGAAAGCTAAATAAAACCAATGAGTTCAGATCCAGATTGCCAAAAACCATAAATGACTATCACAATGTCAATGGAGTCTAAAGTATGGATCATATTTCTTTTTCATACATTACTTCAATTCAAGTTTGAGTAATTATTTCCATCTTTAAATGCAAGGATGGTTTCTTTGGTTGATGTCCACCAAGAGCTAGGTTAAAACTCCTTAACTTTTTATACGTGAAGAAACTCAGTCAGATACCATATTTTATCAAATCTAAGATTTGATTGTAAGATATACCATTATTTCATATACCACTAAGAAATAAAAAAGATCCAACTAAACTAAATATACCTTCAATCGTAAGACAAATCTCAGAATGTTAAATGTGAAAAAAATGTCTCACAATTAACATGATGAAATATGGTAATAAAATAGGAGACTAACCAGTCCTAAGACATTTTAGAGAACACTTTATACATTAAACATCCTTTTAAAAAGTATAAAATACTTTTAATCATTAAATTAAGCTTCTGTTTCCTTACCTGTAAAAATATGACTAATAAGTTAACTGACAGAGTTGATGTGAATATTAACACAAAACCATTAGCATGGTTCGAGTATAAAGTGTAGGTATTCAATATTTGTTCTCTCTTTGTTTAGAGCCCCCCCAAAAAAACCCTCCTCTTAAAACAGAAAATGAAAATAAACCACATTTAAGGTCCCATTCAAGTCAAGCTTAGTAAATTAATCACTTGTCTATAAATCTTACTCACACTTATTTGGAAAACTTTTGAAGGAAGGATGGACGTTAGAATTAAAGGATTAACTATGACTCAGTATTTGAAGGCTCCTAATACACATTTCAAGGGGGTTGTTGTTGTTAGTTGTCACAGAGTTGATTCTGAACCTTTTGTCTAGTAGCCAAGCACTTGTGCCACAAGCTTACACAGCCACTAGTAACAAAAATTGCCCTTTTTAAAGGGCACACTCTTGTCAGAATTGGTATAATTTTTAAAGTCCTATTAATTTGAAAGGCAAAAAAGGTATCTTACTGTTACTAAAATATGTAATTTTCTATTATTATTGTGGTTGGACACTTTTTTCCCAAGAGTTTTTATTCACTAGATGTATAAATTTTCTTCATTTGTAAACTATTTGTACATGCTCTTTACTCATTTATTTACTGCTGATCAAATGTCTTCCTTATCAATTTGTATGAGGTATTTGTACAACAAACACTTTAACACATTTTGCCAGTTTATCTGCTTTTTTAAGTTTTCTTAACATTGAAAATTAGAATTTTTATATAGGCAAATATATATCACAGTTTTTACGGTTTCTGTTTAACACTGATGTTTAGAATGTTAAATAATACTTTAAAACAGAAAGTAGTTTAAGAACAAAGTTACTTCTTATAGCATTACATAGAAGAGTGAAAAATAGCAAATAACCTGAAAGATCAACAATAGGGGAATAATAAGTAAACTATAATAATTCCATTGACTGCAATATTATGTCTACTAAAAGAGTAGTACCAAAAAACTGGAAAATACTTCTAGCATAACGTTATACAAAAAAATAAAAATTATATGTTCATAGAGTAACAACTCTTTATTGTTGTTGTGAGGTGGCATCAAGTCAGTTCCTACTCATAGTGACCCTATGTACAACAGAATGAAACACTGCCTGGTCCAGAGCTATATTTACAGTTGTTGCTATGCTTCAGCCCACTGTTGCACTCACTGTGTCAATGCATCTTGTTTGAAGGTCTTCCTCTTTTTCTATGATCATTTACTTTATCAAGCATGATGTCCTTCTCCAGGGACTGGTCCCTCCTGATAACATGTCCAAAGTATGTGAGACAAAGTCTCACCATCCTTGCTTATAAAGGAGCATTCTGGCTGTACTTCTTCCAAGACAGATTTGTTCATTCTTCTGGCAGTTCACGGTATATTCAATATTCTTCACCAATACTGTAATTTAAAGGCATCAGTTCTTCCTGCTGTCTTCCTTATTCACTGCCCAGCTTTCACACGCATATGAAGCGACTGAGAACAACATGGCTTGGGTCAGGCGCACCTTAGTCTTCCAGGTGACATCTTTGCTTTTTAACACTTTAAAGAGATCCTTTCCAGCAGATTTGCCCAATGCAACGGGTAGTCTGATTTCTTCATTGCTACTTCCATGGATGTTGATTGTGGATCCAAGTAAAATGAAATCCTTGACAACTTCAAACTTTTCTCCGTTTATCATTATGTTGCTTACTGGTCCAGTCGTGAGGAATTTTGTTTTCTTTATGTTGAGGTGTAATCCATATTAAAGACTGTAGTTCTTGATTTTCATCTTCCTCAGGGAGCCTGAGGGGTCCTACTTCCGGCCCCAGGGGACATGGCAATCACTGAAGCTGGCCTGGGACCCAGTACAGAGCAGGGAGGGAGCAGGTAAATGGGAAAGAGGGTCTTCCCAAATGGGGTATTTTTTGATCCACGCAGTAGGTGAGATGGGTATACTCATCTTTTGTTGACTGAGCACCTCTTTTCACTGGTTCTGGAGGCTTGAGTAGACTCTCCGCCGCTCGATCTCTCTTGATGTGGAAAACACATCCCAAATGCCACTGCTTGCCTCACTGAGCACGCCAGCCAATCTGGCCTGCAGGGCGCCAGCTCCTGCCGGGTCAAGTCTGACAACCCCTTGCTGCTTCTGAACCGTCTCTCCCTCCCCCTGCCACTCAGTCCGATTCCTCAACTTTGCCTTTGATGTTCAGGGCTCCTAGATTTACTTAATATAATATAATCGATTTACTTGTTTTTTTGGGTCTTTGTTGTAAGAGGGACCACCAGAAGCATCTGACTTCTCTGCCATCTTGGCCTCGCCTCACTTTCTGTCATTTTTTTTTTTTTTTAAATATTTTATTGTACTTCAGGTGAAGGCTTACAGAACAGATAGTTTCTCATGTAACAGTAACACACATGCTGTTTTATGACATTGGTTAACAA